TGTTAGGTGTTAGGGCTTGAGATCTAGGCCTGCCAGCGCCCCCTACCCGAAAACAACATCACCGCGAGCCCTACACCTAAAAACCTAAACCATAGATCTTAAATCCTCAACCCTAAACACTTCGCCCTCTGCCCTGAACCCGAAACCCTAAACTCCCCAAACTCCTTCAACCCGAAACCCTAAACCCTAAACCCCAAGCCCAAGCCTCCTGGACTTGAGATCGTCATCGGCCTGGTCTACCGCCTGGGGGCTCCTGAGAGGCCTGTTTACTGCCTATAGAGTGGCGTGGGGCAGGGGCGGGGAGGGGGCGCCTTGTCAGGATATTAGGGGGGGGGGGTTTAGCAAGCTGCAGGGGGAGCCAGTTCAGGAGATGGGGAGGGGGGGGGGTGGGGACAGTTGTTGTGAACTGTGGCCACTTTTTTTGGGTGCTTTCTTCTTGGTTCTTTTTTCTGGGGCTCCGTTCTTTTTGTAGGAATCCCCTTCTCCCCCTAAGGGTTGATGTTCCCAAGCCGAAACTTCATAAATCCAGCATGTATCCCGAAACACACTTTAAGAACCCAAAACATCAAGAATAATACACATGACCAGCCCAAAACTACAAGAACTTGCCTCCCGAAACTCCAATAGCAAGAGCTGTAGCTGCTCTTGTTAGGACCCCAAGAAAAGACGAATGGGGGAAACTCGCCCTTCCAGAAGCCTCCAAAATCCCCCTAAAGCCCCTAAAGCCCTAGAAACGCTCAAAGCCCCTAAGGCCCGAAACTTGGTAGCCCCTAAACCCCCCGAAAAGCCCCCCCGAAAAGCCCCACGGAAGCCCCGCTCCTCACGTAGGAGCTGGGTGGCCCGAAGATTCTCTCAGATGACCACGTCGATCATGCCCGGGAGCCTAGGAATGATGATGCGGGGTTGCTTGGGGGGGGGTAGTCTATCTGGTAAGGTAAGAAATCTACCCAACGATGCATATGTACATGTGTATGTACATTATAGATGCCTATAATATATATATATATATATATGTAGGGTTGGGGGGGCGGCTAGAATCTGGGTTTGTCCAGAAGGGCTGCATGCATGGGCATCATCTTCATGGCCACGTGTTCCAGCGGTGGGCAGCACCCCAAACCCTCTGAACCATGCAAAGGCATCTCATGCTAGGCTTCCAAAACCTCTGAAAGGGTTCCACAGGTACCCAAGACCCCGAAGAGCCGTCGCCTCCGCCAGGGCCATGTTCTGTGCCTGGATGGCGCTCTTTAGCTTGGAGTGGCAGCGCCTCGGTCTGGAAGCCAGGGGATATTCAGGGATATTCGGCTTCCGAGATCCTTCAGAGCTTTGTTTTGCTGCTGGGGAATCCTGCCTCAGGTTCCTCTACTACACCGCGCAGAGCGGCTTTGGCGGGCAGGCCAGAGCCTTCAAGAGGAGTGGCGCGATGCGGGTTGTCTTTGTTCCGATATGATGCGAGTACCTTTTGGGGGGGTTTCGGAGGGGAACTCCTACCTTTTTTGGGGGGGCCGACATGCGGGGCCACGGCTCTTCTCAGGAGCTTGTAGCGCGGAGGGGCCTTTATATATGACCACCGACTCAGTCCGCGGACATCAACTCCGGCATCCTCCTCGCCATCTTTGCCTCTGCCAGGGGCCCCAAGGGGTGTGTTGGTGTTTGAGGGTTTTGGGTTCAGGATTGAGGGTTTGGGGTCTCGGGTAATTAGGGTTTAGGGTTGGGGGTTTAGGGGGGTCTAGGATTCAAGGGAACTCGGAGGATGATTTAAGCTAGACGTCTGAAGGGCTCCGGCCCTGGAAAGCCTTGTCTTTCTTGGGCGCAGCCTGTCCATGTGTAACCTTGCGCAAGCTTGTGCAAAACTTGTGCAAAACGAGTCGACGCCGGTGAACATGACCACCCCCCAGATCCCAAGAACCGAACCCGAGGTCTTCATGTTCTTTGTGATGCGCATCATCGATTTCGTCGCTGACAAAGCAGGTCGCGCGGGTGGGCCGCGCTAGAACCAACAAGTGCGTGCGGTGGCGTTTCGCTGGGGTGACTGCGAGACATGGCTTTGCGCATTGAGGTGACCAGTCAATGAGACCATGTAGAGCTGGCTTCTGTTCAATTCTGTTTAACGAACAATCTGCGGCCCCTAACATGGGTTTACTCATGGGTCTACATGGTTGACCCTATATACAACCCTGAGGCCTAAGCGGGGGAACCGGAAAAAGATCCGAGCCTTGCAACAGGTCCCTTGCCAGCTTGAGGTAGATTTAGGACTCATGCGCCGCTAGAACTCCAGCCCGAATTTCTTTAAAAAACCCGAGCCCTCTTTGCCGCACCCGAACCAGGCAGCGCAGCGATTCGCTCCACGGCCATCTTCTGTGAGCTTCTGCACTCCGGCGTAAGAAAGTATACGTTTTCGGATTGGGGCGAGGGGCTTGGGTTCTCGCGAGGTTTTGCAAAGGGTTGGGGGGGAGGCCCGCTGAGCAAAAGAAGTGACAAGCCATGAGCCCAAGAAGAGTCGGAGAACCTAAGACCTAAACCCCAAACCCTACAAACCCTGCAAACAATGGAAGAACCCTCTAGTCCCCATAAACTGTATAGCTCAACTCTGCAAACCCCCAAACCCTGAGCTCTGCAATCCCAAAGAACCCTGAAGAGCCGAAGCTCTGAGGATCGGATTGACCTGGCAGCGCGTCTTCTTCCTGGCGATCATGTGGCTCGGGGCAGCATTCCAGCGAGTCCCCTTGAGATTTCTTGTGGAGGCCAAGAATATGGGGGCCTTGGGAACCCTAAAACCCTAAGCCCTCAACCCCTAAACCCTAAACCCTGAGCCCTAACCCCAAAGCCGAGGTTCTCCGGGCGCCAGTATCTTGCCTCCGAGCGTTACATCGACGTCATGTGGATGTGGGCCACGGCGGCCGTGGGCCCCAGCTTTGCTTCGTTGTTGTTTTGCATCCCTTTCCTCCTTGATTTTTTTTGCCCTTTTTTGGGGGGGAGAAAGCGGGGCTTATGGTGCCCCAACTTCTGGATTTCGGCCGTCTTAGCACGCTCCCAAATCTCAGCCGGTTCGATGCTGTGCTGTGCAATGTGTCCTGTGTTCTACGATGTGCTACAATGTGCTACAAACGGGGAAACCGGGCAAAGCTCTCGAACGAATTCCTTTTTTGACGCCAGCAGAACAAAGAGAGGCAGGGGGTCGCAGCGTCGCCGCTCGTTTCTCCGAGGCAATCTCCGGCCCCGCCTGGTTCCACTTCATCCTCCCTCGCTTCCTTCAGGCCCGCAAGGACGAGGAGACCCCGGGAGAGAGGTGCTTTGAGTAGGCTTGGAAGTGGGCTTTTGAGACGCGTGTGGTGTTCACAGTTGAAAGAAAAGGCCCCCGTGTCTGCTCGGCAAGGATTCGCCCCCACGGAACCCCACAGCCCGCACCGTGAGAACCCCCTCGTGAAGTCCTCCCTAAACCCTTACCCCTAGACCACAAACCCCGAAACCCCTAAAACCTAAACTCTTAACCCTAAACCCGAAACCCCTAAACCCCCAAACCCTAAACCCTAAGAGCCAGAGCAGCCACTGGCGCTGAGGAGGCTGAGGCCGCAGGTTCCGGCGAGGCCAAGGAGGCGCTGGTGGGATGTGGTGGGCTTGAGGGCTTTACGGAGCTGCCGTGAGAGCTGGGCTTTCGTGTGCCCCAGGGTCGTGTGGACCGTCTGACAGTTCACAGCCTGCTGTGCACAAACGGCTCTTGTCGACGCGCACCCAAGCTGATCTTCTTCTGAGACCTCGCATATCCTTAACAGCCCCTTGCACAGGGCTGGTGAAGGCTTCGAGGTCGCACAGAAGACCCCAAACAGAAGCCCAAAACACCCAAAACAGAAGCCCAACAAACAGCCCAACCAGCAAACAGCCCAACCAACAGGAGCCTTTTCTTCCGTGTGTTTCGCCAGGCCCCCGCCGCTGCCCCCGCCGCGGCCCCGGCGGCCCCAGCCGCGGCCCCGGCCTCGGCCAAGGCCAAAGAGGAGGACGGCGACGAGGAGTTCTGAGAATTTCAGAGCCCGGCGTTTAGGGTTTGAAGGTTTAGGGTTTTAGGTGTTTAGGGTTTTTTTGTTTTGGATTTTTAGGGTTTGAAGGTTTTCAGGGATTTAAAGATTTAAGGGTTTTGAGGGTTTGGGGTTTTAGGGTCCGCCGGGGCTCAGGAAGCCTCTTAGAGGGCCGTCCTGGGTGTCTGAGAAAGACGCCCCACCGAAGATTGCCCCCCCTTGTTTACACTCTGTGCAGAAATTAAGGGAGACAGGAGGGACCCCAGTTGTCAGGAAGCTTTTTCGGTGGCCTCGTACTGTACGTCCTATGTCAGCAGCTTGTTTAGGTGGGTCCCTCCGTGTACTTTCTTGCGTGCGCGCCTCTACATGACAGCAGCCACAGCAAACCGGGGAACACAAAGAGGCTCCGCACAAAGCCCAGTTCTTCCTCCTTCCCCAGTGTTCAGCAGTACACCGGTCCTGATCCGCCTCCTCTGACTCAGGTTTTTAGGGGATTTGAGGGGGCTTGGGAACTCAGGGTTTCGACCATATGAGCTCCAGTGTCGGAATGCCCGCAGCCGTAAGAAATCAGGCAAAGCAGCCAAGAGAACCTAGTTGAACACTGGGGACCCACGTCCTCAACTGAGCTACTGGTAACCTGGGAGCTTCATGGGCATGTCGCCCCAAAAAATAGGCGTACCCCTTATGTACTCCACAAAGTCGTCTAATCCTTTATGTTTGGAATTTCAAATAGGCACACAGTTCTTGGAGTCCCCTCAATAGCTGACAGCGTGCGTCTAGCATTGGCGATGGCCGCGAGGCAGACGGCACCAAGTGAGCACAGAAGAGCTTACCATCGGGGTCTGGGCAGGTTTTACTTTACAAACGGGCCTGTAGGACGTTGCTCTTCAGAGCACCGCTGTAGACATCGAGGCTCTTTGATGTTCAGATCTTCAGCAGCATGCGCACAACTTGCCAGTCGTAGTCTGAGAAGGTGCTGCCCCTCGTGAGATGGAAGCTGCCAGGCCGGATGGGGGAGGGGGTCATCTCTTGGGTGTCGAGCGCCGGATTTTCAGAGGGTGTTCTGAATCCTCGTTCTTCTTGGGGGCTCGAGACTCCTAGAAAGTGGCGGTGAAGTCGCATAGATGAACAGCCCTGGAGGTGGAGCTCATGGGGAGCCCCCCCCCGCAATCACCCCATGCCCTTCGCCCGCCCCAAACCCTTCAATAACCCCTTTTCTCTTATTTTCAGGTCGGGCTTCAACTATGCCAAGCCCAGCTGGGCCGGCAAGCCGTGCTTGGACGCCCTGCGGCAGGAAGGTGAGAGCGGCACCTTGCGAGTCGGGGAGAGAGGCGACCCAGCAATGAAAGAGAGGAGAGAATCAGAGAATCTTACCAAGAAATGAAGAGGAAAGGCCGGGGGGGGAGCTTTGTGGTTCCATGTTATAGGCGGAGAGGTGCACCTTTCGAAAAAGCTAAGACGCGTGGGCCTCAGAGGGAGAATGCCAAGGACTCCCTGTCGCTGGACCTCATTGTCGCCGGGGAGGCGTGCTCACGTGCTCACGAAAAGGGGGGGCCGACTCGGACTTCCCTGAATCCTTTCCGAAGATCGAATTCCTGAGGCGGTTGAGTCGGGTTGGCAGGGGGAGCCCCCTTTTCTCTTCAGGCCTCTCCAGATCTGTGCAGGTCAAGCGCCGGGTAGACCTGGACGTGCGCGAGCACGACGCCTTCCTCATCGGCCCCCTGGCCCAAAAAGTGTTGAGGAGCTGAAAAAATGGAGCTCGGGGGGAGGGAGGGCTTGCGTTGTGTTTTTGCCAGGGATGTAGTGGCCAAGTAGGGGCTTCTTCTCTTTGTGCTTCTTGAGGACTGAAAACTATGATGACAATAGCAACGAGCATCACCAGTTTATCATTCAACAGGCTCAAACAAGACAGGGAATATTTGCCACAAAAACGCATAACAGCTGAATATATAGCTCGAGCTACATCATCGAAAGCTCATCACCGAATGATCATCACCGAATGTGCCTGACAGTGGATGCGATGCACCACTACCAGGCGACCGTTGCAAAAATGTACGACATCAAATCTTCATCACCGAACGTTTCGTCACCGAATGTATGGCGCAGTGCTGCGACGTCGAGGCAAGATGCCCGTCTGCACCTAACATGTTCTCCTGGGTCTGCAAGACAGACACATAGATACACTGTTTGCTGTACGCATTCTGGTTCTTCCCCTCCCCATATTTGCACCTTTATTCCTCCTCACTTCACAGGCAGTAAATTGTTTAAAACTAGACCGCTTCAAATTTTGTCTCACCCCGCCGCCGCCCTCAGATCTTTGACCATCCTCTCTTTTATTTAGTCCCCAGGCTAGGTTTCTGTGCTCAGACTGACAGTCTGCACGTAGGAAAAGAGGGCTCTTGCTGAGCAAGGGGCTTCTTTCGGCCCATCTTCCGAGGCCGCGAGAAGAACTGCGACGTGGTCCTCGAGGGGCTGGAGAAGATGGCGTCGCGCTACCACTGCGTGCTGCAGTGCAAGGACCGGCCGAGTGCGCGCTTCGTTTCTTTTTGTGTCTCCTCTTTTTGTTGGTGTCTCCAAATTTGGGCCCTGGGGGGCGACATGAGCTTTCTTTACCTGGAGCTCGCTCGCCTGACTGGTTCCGGTTTTTGAGGGGGTGTCGTCTTCAGGAGCTCGGGAAAAATGGGGACTGTTGCTGAAGCTTTTTGTAGAAATCCTGTGCTTCGGCAGAAGGCCCACTTGTTTCTTCGTGTCATTCCTGAGAAATCAACATGAAGCCTCCCAGACGACCTCTCTGATGGAAGGAGGGATCTCCGGAGATCTACGTCTACGATCTCAAGAGCTCCCATGGAACCATCCTGCATCCCGACGGCAGACCTGCCCGAAGATGTTCGGGCAGGTACGTTGCTTATGTAAGCCATGTCACAGATCCTCCTTCTCCAATAAAATCCAGGAGCCCTGTTAAAGAGCATATTCTGGGTTTTTGCCGCCAGTTGGGACCTTAAGTGCAGACACCCACCTGTGCCGGACTCTGCCATAATCACCGGGATCAGCAGTCTGAAGTTTGTTGGAACCTGGAGCCCGCAAGGAACGGCAAGCAGCTCGATCCTTTCAAGGCCTACGATTGGATTTCGGGGTTTTTGCAGGACGAAGGATTCAGGACCCTTGAAACCTTGTACCAGAATTGGGGTAACGCTGCTTTCTGCCAGAATCTCAGAAACCGAAAAAAGTCCCCCTCCCCGCCCTCCAATCCCCCGCCCCCCCAAAACAATCAAAAAATCAAGAATCAAAACAAAAAACCAAACAAGAGAAGGTGACAAACATGACGAGTAATCAGTCTCCGCTCTGTGCAGTTCGAGCCCATGCGTGTTGGAGGCCAGCCTCCAGCTTAGCCTTTCGAGCTGATCTCTTGTCGCCACAAGGGTGTCCACTAGCTTGCTTCAGCTTACCTACAACCTCCTACGACAACTTGAATTTCAGTTGTAAACAAGAGAGCCCGGGACTTTGAGAGCATGCTGCCAGCTGCCCATCGAAGCCTCCCAAGTTGTTGAGTCCTGAATCCTTCCACCCTCCGAAGCGTATCGTACATCGGGACATGTTTCGCGAGCTTCGCCCGCGAGTTTTTCGCCCGAGGCTGAAGTTCAACGCGGTCAGGCGCCGTCTTGCCGGCATCCTGTTTCGCGGTTGTGTTTTCCGGGAGGGAGAGCTTTCATCCAGTCTTCAGGGTATCAAAGTTTCAGGTTCGCCCGTGCAGAAAGATCCCCAGTCCAGTCCGAGTGAACCCACGCCGGGTAAAGCTCCTTGCGAAGGCCTTCGGCCCGGGATGTCCTCGCCGTGCTTTGTGGGCCGGAGGAGGCTCGAATGCTCTCTTACAAAGCCTGAGAGTTCTTGCGGCTCCAAGCCCATGTCGTGCAATTTGGGAGTTTATGAAAATAGGGGACTACATTCGACCCCCAAATAGTAGGATTCCCTTATAATCAGGACCCCAGTAAGGTACCCGTAACTTCGGAAACCCCCATTTCGGGTACTTTCTTCCTCCCAGGCCATGGAGGAGGAGGGCGAGATCGACCTGACCGCCTTCCGGGAAGAAGCGGCCAAGGCCCCGATCAGAAACGCTGAAGTGCAGGGTGGAGTCATTGTGCCATCGCGGGCATTTCGGCAGATGAGGGGTGCCCCTAGCACATCACCCCAGCTGCACCCTAAACCCTAAACCCGAATCGCCATTCATTTTGGTTTGTCTCCCCCGACCAGGAGCGCACCGCACGAGAGCAGGCGATGCTCCAGGACCAGAGACTTGCACGGAGTTGCACCGCTTTGCACAGATAGCTGTGATGTGCTGTGATAAAACTCTAGACGGCGTTTGGGATCTCGGATTGGATCGAGGCATCTGAGATGAAGGGGGTGGCAGAATATTGCCTGCGGATGAGGCGATGATGTGAGTAGCTCCCGGTGCGCACAGGTCGGGGTGGGCACTTGGTATCTGCAGAGGGATCTGTGGAGAACCGTGTTTGCCGTTATAGTTATAGGCACTAAACGGGCGCACTGCCCTAAGCGGAGGTGACGGTGCTTGCTTGGCTTAGTACCGTGAAGGGTGACGTCGGGGGGAGGAGCCGCACTGAACGAAGCTGTCGCGAGGATGGCAAGCTGTCTTGCCCTTTTGCCGGCTCACCGAGCACATCATCGCGTCGCCGTTGTTGTTTGTCGTTGCGTTGTGTTGTTGTGGCTGACACTTTAGGCCTTCGCGCTGCAGGTGTCGCCATTTTGTTATGCCTTGCAGGTGTCTTCGGCCAGAGACGCCTCGGTCGATGCTCGCTCACTCACTCACGCACTCATTCACTCAATGCCCACTGACCCACTCACTCACAACCAAGTAAAAGCCCCCTATAGATTCCATCCCACTACGTGTTTCGGGGCGCTTTTTTGAGGATTTGGAGCGGCGAAAAGCCGCGAAGAAGAAGCGGATGCACCTCGAGGTGCCACGCCCTGAAAGCCCTGACGTCGCAGAATCCCGCTTCTAAACGACCGCAGTCTTTGAAAGAAGGTCATCCGCAAGACGCCCAAGACATTTCTAGATGTTGATCCCTCCTTTTGGTGTCTATAGATCCTGAAAACCTGAACTTTGAGTGCGGCAGGGAGAAACCCTAAACCCTAAACCCTCTAAACCCTAAACCCTAAAACGTGAAGAGCAGAGCCGAAGGCGCAACGCGAGGCCGTGGCGAAGGCTTACGCCTCGAAGGCGCAACTCGGGTGTAGGTTTTAGGGTTTAGGGTGTATGGCGTAGGGTTTCGGGTTTCGGGTTTCGGGGCAGTCGGCCTCAGTCGGGTTTAGGAGCTTAGGGTTTAGGGGTTTGGGGTTATGGTTTTGGGCTCTGGGGGGTCTTCAGGATCCACTACAACTAGTCGCTGCGCGCTGCGTGCTGTGTGAGTGCTCCGTACCGTGTTTGGGTATCCCAGAAGCATTCCATAATTTACAGAACCTTGGAGTTTTCGCATAAGTCAGTATCAGTGTTTCTACTTGTGAATTAGGCGCCTAAATAGCACAAGGAGGCCGATGATTCTCTAATTTCGGGCAACATGGGACCCTAAACCCTAAACCCCTCAAAGACACCGGATAGGTGACCCATGCACGAAAAGGCCCTCTTTTCTGTACTTGGTCCCGCTACTTGGCGAGGCCGAAGAGAAGATGAAGAAGCAAAAGGACCATGCCCTACACCCCTGCCTGCGTCGTAGGGTACTTCTCGCCTTGTGACTGCCTGAGGTCTTGAGCGCTTGACATTCATGGACATGGCATGCATCGGTGAACCTAGTCCTAATCGGCAGGCTTCAGCTATCCAGGCCTCAGGTCAGTGTTGTCCCAAGTGCCCAAGCGTTTGCTCGAAGGAGTTGGAGGCTGCTGACAGGGAGCGCCTTCATCAGGCCGCGACTGTGGAATCGGTATCGGTTGAGAGCATCTTGCAGCGAATTACAGCCCCTGAGCCCCTAAGAGCCTGAAGCTGAAGCCTAAACCCCACACCTCAAAACTGCCTGCAAGGGTAGCAGAGACAGGCGTAAACCAGCAACCAGAGGTAGCGACGCTTCACTTCCGCCAATTAGCCCTGCAGGTGAATTGGGGCATGGGCGAGGATGCAGTGGAAACCAATACAGAGGCCAGGACAGCGGATCGCACTTGCGCAGGCTTTGCTCATCGCACATTGCATGCTGCTGTTCCACCCTCAAATTGCAGGGGGGCCAAGGGTATCGCTGGGATGGACCCCTTAGTGGCACCAATGCGATTGATTGAGAGGCACGTGCGCAGGCGCGGCTAGAGCCCCTTGTGCCGAGAGTTGATCTTCAGGAGCTGCACGATGACGCAAAGAAGCTGCTCGACGCGGCTCGGCCGTGCGCATGCTCTCCCCACGTTTTGTCCATTTTGAGTCTCGTGAATGTCCTGTACCGGAGGCTCTTTGAAAAGGCTCTTTCAGTCCCCCCGCCTCACCCCCCTCCCCCCCCGAAGTCCCCCGAAATCCCAAAAAAAAATAAAAAAGGATCAAAAAGAAAATAAAAAAGGATCAAAAAGAAAATAAAAAAGGATCAAAAAAAAATAAGGCCGCGATCGACGACCCTCTCACACGAAACGCGTCTCGAGGCGCAAAAGCTCGAGTTTTGGTACGTTCTCAGAGCACGATGGACGACCCCCTCACACGACACGCATCTCGAGGCGCTAAAACCCTGAGTTTTGGCACGTTTTCCGAGTGGAACTCTTGGCTTCCCGGCTTCTTGGCTTGTTGCCTTCTTGGCTTCTTGGCTTCCTGGCTCTCCTCGGCTTTTAGCTTTTTGGCTTCTTGGCTTCTTGGCTTCTTTTTTAAGTCGCAACCGCTTGCTTCGACGCATACGCGTGTGTCGAAAGCCATGATGCGAGGATTGTGTTTGCAAATGGGGGGGGCTGCCCCCCCCCCAACCCCCCCGCTTTTTAAGTCGCGCAAGCTTGCTTCGAAAAATAAGCGTCTTTTTTCGAAACTAATGACGCGAGCATTGTGTTTGCGTGTTGGGGGGCGGGGGGGGGCTGCGCCCCCCCCCCAGACCCCGCTTTTTCAAATCGCGCAAGCTTGCTTCAAAGCATACGTCTTTTCGAGACCCATGATGCGAGCATTGTGTTTGCAACTGGGGGTCTTCTACTACTACTACTACAACTACTACTACTACTACTGCTACTACTACTTCTCCTGCGACTACGATTACGACTACTGCTGCTGCTGCTCCTACTACTACTACTACTACTACTACTACTACTACTACTACTACTACTACTACTACTACTACTACTACTACTACTACTACCACTACTACTACAACAACAGCAACAACTATTATTATTATTATTACTACTACTACTACTACTACTACTGATATATTATATATTGTATACTATATTTTATATGTTATTTATTATATACTACCATTATTATGTATTATATATTTTAAAATTAGGTCTTAGATATTAAATATCATGTATTATATCTATATATATATATATCTTATTATATACAGTATATATATATGTTAGATAATATATAGACATTAGACATTAAATATTAAATATTATATATTATATGTTATGTATTATAAAAGAAATAGTTTATATTATATGATATTATATCATAAACTATTATATTAAATTATATTACATTATAGTGTATTATATTCTATGTTATTGTATTATATTATTCATAATGTATCCTATATCATATGCTTAAATATGTTTTTAAAATATGATATTATATATTCCTTTGATAATATCATATATTGTATTATATCGTACATGATATGTTATGTTAATATTAATATGAATACAATGTTCATATGAATTTTAATATGAATATTAATATTAATATTAATATTAATAGGAATATTTATAGTAATATTATTATTAATATTACTCTTAATATGAATATGAAGATTAACATGAATATAAATAAATAAATAAATATAGAGATGCATAATATATTGGTCGATCGCGTCGCGAGCAACATACCAAAACTCGAGTTTAAGCGCCTCGAGATGCGTTTCGTGTGAGGGGGTTGTCGATCGTGCTCCGAAAACGTCCCAAAACTCGAGTTTTGGCGCCTCGAGATGCGTTTCGTGTGAGAGGGAGGGTCGTCAATCGTGCCCGGAAAACCTTTCCAAAACTCGAGGTTTAGCGCCTCGACACGCGTTTCGTGTGAGAGGGTCCTCGATCGGGTTCCGAAAACGTACCAAAAATCGAGTTTTAGTACTCGAACGTTCGAAGTTTATTTTCTTTTTGATCCTTTTTTATTCATTTTTTGATCCTGGGCTGCGTAATTTTTTTTTTGATCCTTTTTCATTTTTATTTTGATCCGGCAGCCCACCCGAAGGCCCCAAGAACCTTTGAGCCCGTGGGCCCCACCAAAAGCCTCCCGAGGCGAACGGCAAGCTCGACTTGGAGAAAGTCCGGGAGCTTCAGCTGACGCAGAAGCAGGCGGAGAATGTTGGGGGGGGGATTCGCTTTCTGGAGGGTTCGTGACAAGTGAGACGGCTACCTTTGGCCAATGACTCGCATGTCCCTTTTGGCGCGCAAGAAGAGGACGCCATGGTGCAGAAGCTGGAGCAGAAGCAGCGCAAGATCGCCAACTTGTTCCGGCGCGGAGCTGCGAGAGGGGGTGCAAGGGTGCAAGCCCCAAGCCTTCCCCCCGGCATACCAAAGCCTCCAAATCCGACTGCCGCTGAAAGCGGGTTTTGATAGGCCGGTGTAGGCGTGTAGGCGTGTGGGTGCGGGGATGCGTGACATGGGGAAGAAATGCTTGTGGATGACCGGCAGGGAGAAGCAGCGCCAGGAGGACGAGGGCACAATAGGGCACAGGGTTCAGAGCTTGTCTTGAGCCCACAGCTTGGCCTTCAATTTGGGGGCACAGTGCGGAAGATACTCCACCCGCACCATCCGCATCCAGCAAGCTTTCGACACACAAGTTGGCGTCCAAGACCTCAGACCCAAACCCTGAACCCAACTGGTTTTTGGGGAGGACCAGGCCGCCCAGAGAGCCCAGAAGAAGGCCCGGGCGAACCTGGATATCGACGCCCCCTGGCGGCCCTGGGTGATTTCCCTCTTGCAGAGGGAGGGGGGGTTTAGGGAATGATGCGCGAGCAGGGTTTCCTAAACCCGGAACTTCCCAAACTCCCTCACCCTGAACCTCCTAACCCTAAACCCTAAAGCCTAAACCCTAAACCCTAAACCCTGAAAGCCTTCAAGGGCTCAAGCCCAGGAGTTGCCGGACAGCGGCATGGGCACCCAGAACATGGAGCGCCTTCAGAAGCTCGAGGAGAAGTCAGGGCCCCGGAGCCGCCAGGTGAGAACATCTCGCGCCTGCCCTTCTCTGGCGGGAGCCGCAGAGAGCAGTTTAGGGGTTTCGTGGGTTTTGGGGGGCTTTTGGGCTTTGGGGTCTTTTTGGGGTCTTTTTGGGGGCTTTTTGGGGGGCTTTGGGGGTTTGAGGGTGCTGTGGGTTACCCCCAAACAAAAACAACCCAAGATTCCGAGTCTTGAGGATCCAGAAGAGCGAGGAGGACTTCGCGGCGCAGGTCCGGTCGAGCAGAGGGTCTGCCCAGAGAGCCCAATACCCCTTAAATAAGGGATATGCTTTAAATCATGTTAAGGGTCCCTAATTTTCAGGTACAATTCTGATGTAAGGGGCTTTTTGGGTAGTCTGGATCTTGTTTCTTGCGCATATCCATGCTCTACGCATGAGAGCAGGTAGCTACATTGCATATGAACACATGCAAATGCACATGTATACATGCATGTGCGTATGCACGTATGTATATATGTTCGATACTTCTCATTGCTTACACAATGTACTTCGAATGTTCACTAAAGAAGACAGCCCCACAACAGCGGCATTCCAAATGTTCTCGGAGGCCGACACGCTCTTTGTGTCACTGGGCATGAAGCGTGCTTGGCGCCCAGATTGTTTACAGGTATGGGGTTTAGGGCAGATTGCATGTGCAGGAATGTCCTCATGACTTCATACCTTTATTGGGTTTGTTGGCTCAGTTGCTGCACGACCGCGAAGCAGAAGCCGAAGAATCGCCCAATCCCGCTCGAGTGAGAAGAGACCCCTGACTTATGAGTCCTCTCATAAATCCCACAAGAAGAAAGGTGCGCCTCAGTTCCACTAGTTTCCCTATATCATCTTCCCTCACAAAGAAGAGAGAAGAAACAACGAGCGACAGCGAGAGCGAAAAGGAATCTCCGAGAGAGAGTCAGGCCGGCTTCAGCGAGCGCGTCAGCAAGCGGACCGCGGCACGGGCCCCGAAGCCTCTGAGCCCCCCTCTGTTGGGGGTTCTTCTTGGGGCTCTCTCGAATGTTCCTAAGCTCAACAAAAGCCCTAAATAAGCCCGATGGAGCCTTGTGAGCCCGAAGCCACCTTTTTCTTCTGAAGCTCTCAGACTTCTGGGGTCTCTAGGTGAGGAGAGGGGGGAGGGGAGGTGTAAAGACGCCTAGGCCCTCTACGACACGAGGGACGACGCGAGTGACGACGAGTTCTTCGACCGTACGGTGTGCAGCTGAGACGATCCCCAGTTGTGGCGAGGTCTGATCACCAAATTTCAGAAGGCCCCTAAACCCTCAACCCTTCGCCCCCGACCCTAAACTCCCAAAACCCCCCCAAAAGCCCTTAACACCCTTACAGCGGCCCCAACGCACACAGTGAGCCCCAAAAAGCAGGCCGCGAAGACCTCGGCACCCAAGGAGGCAGAGGCGAGCGGGGGGGAGGGCAGACACAACGCAGAGAGAGAGAGAGCGAACGCCTTTGGGGTTTTGAGTGGGGGGTGTTCAAGGAAGTTCAAGGTGAACCTTCTTAATTCTAGTGCCTTCTGATTCACATGAAAAGCCTCGTCTTTTGCACTTTTGCACTCAGACTAATGCAGTTGTTCTGAGCATCGGATTTGTGATCTTTCTTTGCTTGTCCCTGCGACTTTGGGTTGTGTCTTAGGGACGCGCTGGTCCAGGCCGCCGACATCCCCTCAGAGCTGATGGGCCTTCCCACGCCTGCGACTCATCGCAGACGGGACGAGCCCCCTACAAAATGGGGACTCGGATTTCCCTATGCCCTAGACCCTCAAAGCCCGAGAAACCTTCCAAAAGCCCACGGCACCTCTCCTCCGTAGCAAGAAGCGCGAAGGCTCGACGATGTGGAGAACCAGAAGTCCTTGGAGGCCCCGATAAGCCCCCAGAAGCTCCCTCTGCACCACTGTTCTTTCTTTGGGATGTGCGCTCTCAACAAGGCTAAACCCTAAACCCCAAGCCCTAAGCCCTAAACCCTAAATCCTAAATCCTAAATTGAGAACATTGGGGTAAATGAGGCACGAACCTGGAGGCTTGGAAGGATAGGGAGTCAAGGCGTTGAGCTTAGCACGTGCCCACAAAACCACAGGGATATGCCTAGGTCCTACACTGACCACATCCCACACCCGAAGCCCTAAGTGGCTTCAACAACCCAAACAAGCCCCAAGCACACCCACGAAAAGCCCAAACCCCCAAAGCTCCACAACTCCAAGCCCCAAACCCAAAAACGCAAAGAAAGACCCCCTGAGAACCCGGTGCAGGTGAAGGTGAGCCAACTCAAGGCAGAGCAGGCCGAGGGCCTATCCAGGGGGCTGATCCGGTGCACTCGGATTTGGGTCTTGGGGGGGGGGGGGGGGGGTAGTTGGGCTTCTGAGAGGTTTGAGTTCGTTTTTTTTTTCTCTAAGGGTTTCCTTAGGGGCTTTGGGAGTGTTAGGGTGGGTTGGGTGTTGTTGGGCTGCTTTGGGGGTTTTTGGAGTTCAGGCTCTGGGAGGCCAGGAAAGACTTCTCATAAAAATGAGTGCCCCGAAGTCTTCAACCCTAAGCCCTGATCCCCCAAGCCCCTAAACCCACCCTAAACCCGAAAACCTTGAACCCCCATTCACTACAACCCTCATGGTCTGAGTCTGCTGGGGAGGGGCGCCCCGGGTCTCCCGTCTGCTGTGCTTCCAGCGCCTCGGTGAGCTTCGCTCCCACTCTAACCGAGGGCCCCTCCCCACCCGAAACGCGAAACCCCAAAAACCCCTAAACCCTACAAACCCCAAAGCCCTGATGTCTGGTGGTTAAGCCCCGATGTCTGTTGGTCGCGCTGGCAGGCGCGAGTCGCCGCGCAACTTGCAGCCGAGAAGGCAGAAGCCTTGGGCCCCCTCCCGGAGTTTGAAGGGCTTAGGGTTTAGAATTTCAGGGTTGAGGGTTTAGGGTTAAGGGTTGAGGGTTTGGGGTTTGGGGTTTAAGGTTTTCTTTTCTGAGCTAGGCCTGCCGCAATCGGGGCGGTTGCTGAAACAAGCCATTACAGCAAGCGAAGAAGGCCCGTTGAACAGGTTCGAACCGGCCTTTTGAAGGGCTTTAAAGGGTTTGAAAGGGCTCTAGCCCCTTCAAAGGGTCCCCCAAAAGTTGTGGGAGAAAGAACCCAAGACGGGGTACCCTCAAGTAGCCACTTAAGAGACCAGGTGAAGGCGAAGAAGCAGGCGGACCTCCAGGAGCCAGAGGCCCGAAAGCCTGGCTTTTTTTGATTTTTCTTGATTCTCTTCGGAGCTTTGTGGCCAAGTTTTTGCGCCACCTTGAAAGGGAGGTAGAGGAGGACTGAGGAAGAAGCTTTGGGGCCCTGGATTCACACGTTAACCTTGGGGCGCTGCGATCGCACCCAATGTGGGGACTGCTGCTGTCACACGCGAGAAAGGCACCAGTCGCACAGCGGAGGGTCGTAGAGATGGTGTTCAGTCAGCCACTTCTGGATCTTTGTTGAGGACTCCTTGGACGCCTTCATGAACGCCACCGTGGCAGAGCTCCGGCAGGCGGCTGCTGACTGCTTGCGAGCTGCCTGGGACCCCACTCGGTTCCTCGGTTCAGGCGCTGGCAATACATAGAAATGAGAGCCGGAGCTCCGAACAGCCCTTAAAGGTTTCTTCTGTCAGTGCCGAAACAGCGGGCGAGCGAATGGCACAGGATCGCGGGGACAAGCTCCAGCGACGAGCCGAGGCACTCCCAGACTTTACATTCGGCCCCAAATTTTCAGCGGTTCATTCGGGTTTCCGGGTTTCAGGTCGTTGAGCGCTTAGGGCTTAGGGTTGTGGATGTCCCAAGACCCACAACTTGGATGTAGACTCATGCCCAGAGATGCTGCGAAGCTCACTCTTCTGGCCCCTTGTGCTTTCTCATCTCTTCGAAGTCTACGCGGCCATGCAGTTGAAGCGGCCTCCATCCAACCCCCCTCCATCCAGCCCCCCCTCCTCCAGCTCTCCATCCACCACCCCTACACATCTGCTTGAAGTGCGACAGCAAGGACTGGAACGGAGTCCGGCCTGAAGCCTGCTAAGCCTAAATCGAGGCCAATCACGGGAATTAGCGGGCATCATGCGCCCTGTTTCGCGTCAATCGACGGGAAGAGCCGGTCATCATGAGGCACGCATCATGAGCATCGGCCAATCACGGGAATCGGCGGGCATCATGCACCATGTTTCGGGCGAAGAGCTGGGCATCACGAGCATCAGCCGGGCATCCTTCCACGAAGAGCGCGCACGCATCATGAGCATCAGCCGGGAGCTGCCTGAGGCCAATCACAGGAATCGGCAGGCATCATGCCCCCATGTTTCGCGTCAACAGCCGGGCATCCTTCCACGAAGAGCGCGCGCATCATGAGCATCAGCGGGAGCTGCCTGAGGCCAATCACAGGAATCGGCGGCATCATGCCCCCGTGTTTCGCGTCAATCGACGGGAAGAGCCGGGCATCATGAGCATCAGCTGGGCATCCTTCCACGAAGAGCGCGCGCATCATGAGCATCAGCCGGGAGCTGCCTGAGGCCAATCACAGGAATCGGCGGGCATCATGCCTCCGTGTTTCGCGTCAATCGACGGGAAGAGCCGGGCATCATGAGCATCAGCCGGGCATCCTTCCACGAAGAGCGCGCGCATCATGAGCATCAGCCGGGAGCTGCCTGAGGCCAATCACAGGAATCGGCGGGCATCATGCCCCCGTGTTTCGCGTCAATCGACGGGAAGAGCCGGGCATCATGAGCATCAGCCGGGCATCCTTCCACGAAGAGCGCGCGCATCATGAGCATCAGCCGGGAGCTGCCTGAGGCCAATCACAGGAATCGGCGGGCATCATGCCCCCGTGTTTCGCGTCAATCGAAGGGAAGAGCCGGGCATCATGAGCATCAGCCGGGCATCCTTCCACGAAGAGCGCGCGCATCATGAGCATCAGCCGGGAGCTGCCTGAGGCCAATCACAGGAATCGGCGGGCATCATGCCCCCGTGTTTCGCGTCAATCGACGGGAAGAGCCGGGCATCATGAGCATCGGCCGGGCATCCTTCCACGAAGAGCGCGCGCATCATGAGCATCAGCCGGGAGCTGCCTGAGGCGAATCACAGGAATCGACGGGCATCATGCCCCCGTGTTTCGCGTCAATCGACGGGAAGAGCGGCATCATGAGCATCAGCAGGGCATCCTTCCACGAAGAGCGCGCGCATCATGAGCATCAGCCGGGCATCCTTCCACGAAGAGCGCGCGCATCATGAGCATCAGCCGGGAGCTGCCTGAGGCCAAGCACAGGAATCGGTGGGCATCATGCCCCCGTGTTTCGCGTCAATCGACGGGAAGAGCCGGGCATCACGAGTACAGCCGGGCATCCTTCCACGAAGAGCGCGCGCATCATGAGCATCAGCCGGGAGCTGCCTGAGGCCAATCACAGGAATCGGCGGGCATCATGCCCCCGTGTTTCGCGTCAATCGACGGGAAGAGCGCGCGCATCATGAGCATCAGCCGGGCATCCTTCCACGAAGAGCGCGCGCATCATGAGCATCAGCCGGGAGCTGCCTGAGGCCAATCACAGGAATCGACGGGCATCATGCCCCCGTGTTTCGCGTCAATCGACGGGAAGAGCCGGGCATCATGAGCATCAGCCGGGCATCCTTCCACGAAGAGCGCGCGCATCATGAGCATCAGCCGGGAGCTGCCTGAGGCCAATCACAGGAATCGGCGGGCATCATGCCTCCGTGTTTCGCGTCAATCGACGGGAAGAGCCGGGCATCATGAGCATCAGCCGGGCATCCTTCCACGAAGAGCGCGCGCATCATGAGCATCAGCCGGGAGCTGCCTGAGGCCAATCACAGGAATCGGCGGGCATCATGCCCCCGTGTTTCGCGTCAATCGACGGGAAGAGCCGGGCATCATGAGCATCAGCTGGGCATCCTTCCACGAAGAGCGCGCGCATCATGAGCATCTGCCGGGAGATGCCTGAGGCCAATCACAGGAATCGGCGGGCATCATGCCCCCGTGTTTCGCGTCAATCGACGGGAAGAGCCGGGCATCATGAGCATCAGCCGGGCATCCTTCCACGAGCGCGCGCATCATGAGCATCAGCCGGGAGCTGCCTGAGGCCAATCACAGGAATCGGCGGGCACCATGCCCCCGTGTTTCGCGTCAATCGACGGGAAGAGCCGGGCATCATGAGCATCAGCCGGGCATCCTTCCACGAAGAGCGCGCGCATCATGAGCATCAGCCGGGAGCTGCCTGAGGCCAATCACAGGAATCGGCGGGCATCATGCCCCCGTGTTTCGCGTCAATCGACGGGAAGAGCCGGGCATCATGAGCATCAGCCGGGCATCCTTCCACGAAGAGCGCGCGCATCATGAGCATCAGCCGGGAGCTGCCTGAGGCCAATCACAGGAATCGGCGGGCATCATGCCCCCGTGTTTCGCGTCAATCGACGGGAAGAGCCGGGCATCATGAGCATCAGCCGGGCATCCTTCCACGAAGAGCGCGCGCATCATGAGCATCAGCCGGGAGCTGCCTGAGGCCAATCACAGGAATCGGCGGGCATCATGCCCCCGTGTTTCGCGTCAATCGACGGGAAGAGCCGGGCATCATGAGCATCAGCCGGGCATCCTTCCACGAAGAGCGCGCGCATCATGAGCATCAGCCGGGAGCTGCCTGAGGCCAATCACAGGAATCGGCGGGCATCATGCCCCGTGTTTCGCGTCAATCGACGGGAAGAGCCGGGCATCATGAGCATCAGCCGGGCATCCTTCCACGAAGAGCGCGCGCATCATGAGCATCAGCCGGGAGCTGCCTGAGGCCAATCACAGGAATCGGCGGGCATCATGCCCCCGTGTTTCGCGTCAATCGACGGGAAGAGCCGGGCATCATGAGCATCAGCCGGGCATCCTTCCACGAAGAGCGCGCGCATCATGAGCATCAGCCGGGAGCTGCCTGAGGCCAATCACAGGAATCGGCGGGCATCATGCCCCCGTGTTTCGCGTCAATCGACGGGAAGAGCCGGGCATCATGAGCATCAGCCGGGCATCCTTCCACGAGCGCGCGCATCATGAGCATCAGCCGGGAGCTGCCTGAGGCCAATCACAGGAATCGGCGGGCACCATGCCCCCGTGTTTCGCGTCAATCGACGGGAAGAGCCGGGCATCATGAGCATCAGCCGGGCATCCTTCCACGAAGAGCGCGCGCATCATGAGCATCAGCCGGGAGCTGCCTGAGGCCAATCACAGGAATCGGCGGGCATCATGCCCCCGTGTTTCGCGTCAATCGACGGGAAGAGCCGGGCATCATGAGCATCAGCCGGGCATCCTTCCACGAAGAGCGCGCGCATCATGAGCATCAGCCGGGAGCTGCCTGAGGCCAATCACAGGAATCGGCGGGCATCATGCCCCCGTGTTTCGTGTCAATCGACGGGAAGAGCCCATCACGGGAATCTGCGGGCATCTTGAGCACTAGAGCCGGGCCACATAGGAGCTCGGCTCAGGGCCATCGACAGGGGGAGAGTTTCATCGTGAAGCTTAAGATGTTTGTCCCAGGAGTTTTAAACTTACGGTTGGCAGGCCAAGAGAGGTTAGGCCCGGCTTGGGCAGTGAAAGTTTCGGGCTTTGCTACCTGGGGTGCTCGGGTGATTCCATTTCTTGTGCTTGTATTTATTCCGTTGAAGGACGGCGAAGGGCTGTATCGTGCCAAAGAGCAGCTGCTTGCTGCGCAGGCGGTCAACGAGCGGCTGGTGAAGTTCGAGGCCCTTCTAAGGAACAGCTGCGCTCACGAAGCAATGAAATGAGCATCAGGGGTCCAAAAAACCCTGAACTCTAAACCATCCGATTCATGACTCGTAAGCCCTGAAAACCCTCCCGAAGCCGCGATGCTGAACTTCACAGGCCATGCTTCGGGAAGCCAAGACGAACACTGAAGAGGCGCCCCACAAAACCGGGAGACCACTCTCTTTTGAGCTAATTTTTTGTGTCCGGTGCTGCTTGTCGAACTCGTGGTGTGCTTCTGTTCTTTAGTTCTGTGGCTCCTGAGTGGGCCTCAGGCTCCCAGAGGAAGCCCCAATACCAAGCAAGTCCAACCTATTTTTTTTCCAAATTTGCATCTTGCACCATCTTGAAACGTCTCACCAAAACGCCTCATGAAGCAACATTCCGAGCACAGAGAGGCCCTTTCATCGCATTGGGCGCTTTATGGCGCTTTCTGCTATGCTACGATCGTGCACAATGTGTTCCCAGATGTTCCCAGCGGTGCCGGAAGCCTGACAGAAAGCCCGGAGATATTTTGTGGCCTATGGGCTCCCTGAACCCCCCCCCCCTGTGTAGAGCCTAACCGCCTATACCCCGCCCAGCCCCCCCCACACTCTTTCTCTCCAGTTTGCAGGTCCTTTCGGCGCCAGTGAAGCGGCAGAAGACCGAGGACATGAGCCTTCCGTGCGTTGCCAAATTGTTGCGTATTGAGGTGCCCCCAAAGGGTTTCCATGCGCGTTGTCGACTTGTCCCTCGTTGGCGAAAGCACCTGAAGGGCATCTCTGGCAAAGGCCCCAAGTGCCCAACTGCAGGCAGCCGCTTCCTCCACGCCGGCCAAAGCCAGGCACGACGGGTTGTGGTGCTCTGATGGGACGTGCGGCTTGAAGAACCTAGAGGCGGCTTAGAGGCGGCTTAGGGTTCATGGGTTTGGTGGTTGAGGGTTTAGACTTCAAGGGCTTCTTGGTGTAGAGCACCTGGGTCACCCCAAACGGTTTAGGGGTCACCCCAAACGGTTTAGGGTGTAGGGTTTAGGGTGCAAGACGAGAATCATCTGTGTGTTGGATGAATGAATCCCTCACTGGGTCCCCATTGGCCACGCTCTTCGTCAAACCTGCACCATCTAAAGCCATCTAAAACCCTAGACTTGGGATGTTTCCCCTTATACTAAGAGTCCCTGTGATAGGGATTATAATTGGGGGGGTACGATAATCCTTCTTAAGGACTGTCAGGATAAGGGGGAAGATCCCACAACCCTGCACTGTTGAGAAACCTGCTCAGTTCCCTTTGGGAGGAGCGGTGCTGGCCCCGCCTCCACCGCAGAGGTTTTGGCCAGGCTCACAGAGAAGGCCGATCGGAGGGAGTCAGAGTTGGGGTTTAGGGTTTCGGGACTTAGAGCAGAATCCGTGTTAACCTTAACCGACCCAAACCGCAAGAAACTCTTCACCTACTCCAACTGAAGACCCCTCCCACTGCCTTCGAAGGCGGAGAAGGCCACAGCGAAGGGGGAGCCCAAAGCCAAGGCCGCTGGAAGCTCAGAGGAAGGGGCATTCAATTAAATTGAGGGTTCGACTTCCCGCGCTACGCCTTCCAAGAAGGGCGGTCCAGGAAGAATTCTAATGATTAGAAGCTTCTTCCTTTTTGACGCGCCTTTGCCGGCAACCTTTTCGCCACCATTTGGTGCTCTGCGATGAAAAAGCCCCGTAGCTGAGCCTTGTAGAGTCATTGCAGAGCTCTCCAAGACAGACGGCTGAGGCCGCGGTGAAAGAAGCGGAGGCCACGGTCCTACGGAGTCAACAACTACAGAGATTGTCACAATCTAAATATGGCATAGTCGTAGTATACTTCTGATACCCATGCTCTTTTCTTCTTGGGGGGCCGGGGTCTGCTTCTCGTCTGTCTCCCACGGCGCATGTTTTCCCCCAGTGCTTCTTTCAAGGACTCCGAAATATGGGGGGGGGGTTCGATATTAGGGGTAGATAAGGGAACCTACTATTTGCGGGGGTCTATTTTGGTGGTCCCCTATCTTCGTAGACCGTGTCGCGGGATGAATCAGACCAGCTCTGGTTTTGCCTCGCGAGACGTGAGCAAGTCGTGCACTTTGAAGGTGAAAGCCGAGGCGAAAGCCGAGGCGAAAGCCGAGGCGAAAGCCGAGGCCAAGCCTGCAGAGGAGCCCGAAGCCCAGAAAAGCGGGGTTCGAGGCTTTGGCCGGATTCCAGCGGACATGGGGGTTTGCGACAATCAGGGAACCCCCCAAATAGTATTCCTTTAAAACGGACCCCCCAAAAGGTACATGGAATTTCGGAAACCCCCACATATGTCTTGGGGACTTCTTGGCTCGGTATGTTGGGGTGGGCAACTCCCCTCCCCCCCCCCGACTCACGAGCTGATGGTCTGTTGAAGTGCCGTTCTCCGGACCGTGTCTGGAATGCCTTCCTCAAAGCTCCAGTCTGCTTTGCGAGGTGTCTTTGTTTTTTTTTTTTGGGGGGGGGGGGTTTCATGTCTGGTACGCAAACCTTTGCCGAAGCATCCTAGAACCCCAAACCCCAAACCCCCCAAACCCCCCAAAACCCTCGAGAACCAGTACCCAGAGAGGCCTCAAGCTGCGCCGAAGGCTCCGTCCTGGCTCAGGGAGGGGGGGGAGCATGTCTGAGCTCGAGGGTAATGAGAGTTTTTTGGGTTTGGGGTTTGGGGGCTTACACTTTTCAGGTATCCTAAGTGGCTCCATCTTGTGGTAGCATCAAGAAAGGGATGCCCTAAGCCCCAGACAGTGTATTTCAGGTGGCTCCACTCTGTGGCCGCCACAACAGGACCGTATTTTGGAGAAGGCAAAGAAGGACGCGTGGGTAGACTACCCTCTACGTGTTGAAGGGTCGGGGGTCTTCGCGGGGAGCAAGCTCTCTTGCGCCCATGGCTTGGTTTCAACCCAAACCCCAAACCATAAATGTGCTTCCAAAGCAAGACCATCCATCAAGAACAAGGGAGTAGCATGCAAACTGGCAAACTGGGAGAGCCCAACTCCGCCCCCCCTCCCCGCCCTTGTCAAAAGTCGCTGAGACAGCTCTCACGGCAGGCTGGGGCCATGGCGCCCCCCAGTGCCTTGCCTTCCAAATCCCGGGCGCACATCGACCCAGAGAAGGCCGGAAAGGTGAGGAGACTTCTCTCACGATACGTCCTTGGCAAGAAGACTTAAGGTTAGGGTACCTTACTGGGGCTATTTTCGTAAGCCCCCAGAATGAAAAGAGTACGATAAGCCAGCATGAACAACAATTGTGGTCCCCCTACCCTTTTCTGACTCTGTCTTGGTCGCCCAGGCGCGCTGTGAGCAATATGTGGTCCAACGGTTTCTTTCGTGGTGCACCGTCAAAACCGAAAAACGAAAAGCAAGAACAATCACGCAAACAATAGCCAAAACAACAAACCTCAAAACTCTAAAACCAACACAGCAGGAAAAAGAACACACGCGCACAGACAGACAGACAGACAGACAGACAGACAGACAGACAGACAGACAGACAGACAGACAGAGACAGACAGAGACAGACAGAGACAGACAGAGACAGACAGAGACAGACAGAGACAGACAGAGACAGACAGAGACAGACAGACAGACAGACAGACAGAGAGCTTTTGTGCGTTTAAAATGTTTGTTTTTTCACTCCTTTTCTGTGAAACGCAAGCAAAGCCCTAGAACGTAATGGGCGTTTTACCCCTGCCATGCACTGCGTCTTACCAACATGCGTGAAGTCAAAATTTGTCTTCGGAGCGTCTTCTGGACGTTTGGAATTTCGTAGGTCTTCCAATTGTGATAAATATGGCCTGGCGCAAAAGGAACATCATCTGCGTGTCCAAGAAACTTGCGCCTTTCGAGGCATTTCCCACGCGCAAACTTTTGTGTAGGACATGGCACTATTTGCTTAGGGCAAACCCCAAAACAGAAACATCCAAACTTCACCAGAGATTCTCCCGAAAAGCTTGGGGTTTTGGATTGTTTTGGTTTGTGATATATGTGCTTGTACTGCATTTAGCCCAATATGTCACATCATGCGGAAATAAGAGCTTTGCAGCCCAAATACCTGGCAAAACGCCTTCATAGGAAGCCGCCACCCCGTTTTGGGTTCTGGGTTCGCTCAGGTTCGGATGTTGCAGCCAGCATTCCAAAAAGTCTTAGGTAGCATAGGCTATCTATTTCACTCATGGCCCGAAGCAATGGAACCCTTGAGACCCCCCCCGAGACCACCCCTTTTTGAGGCAGGCCTCCAGTTCATGGCGCCAGAGCCTGCCGCGAAGAAGAAGAAGGCAATGGGTCCTGGATTTGTTGCTTGGGATGTCATACTCCAAACAGGTCTACCTGTCCTCTGAACATCCTGAGCAGCCTCCGAACTTAAAGAGGTCTACGGCGTCGCCATGCCGCCAAAGTTTGCGAGCTCCCGCGATGCGGATCAGGCGAGCACTTCTTATCAGGGTTCATATCGATGGGTTTGCAGGCTCCGCTTCATGAACGTTGGGTTTGTTTTTTCTTTGTTCTCCGAGCATGGAGGTCTAGAGCCGATGGGTCCTCCATGTCCCCCCCCCCCCCGATAGAGTGGAAAAACTCTCCTTCTCCAAAAGTGGGCTCCTTACGCCAGGTTCAAATGCAAGATACTGAGTCTGAGGTTACCCGAAAATGCACGAGCAGTGAAGAGAGGGCTCGACAGTGCTTGCCGAGTGCCCTCCGCGTTCCTCTGCAGGCAGCCTCCGGAGAGCTGGAAGAGCCCGAAGGATAGCTCGGTGAGAAAAAGCTCCGAGATCTTAGGGAGTGGAAGCAGTCTGAGAGAAGCGCTTGAGCCGCTGGGGGCCTTTCGAACAGGCTTTTCAGTCTGAGGGTGAGACAAATTCTTCCACTGTGTGCGGCGAAGCAGCAGCGCGTGCGGCGTCATACAACGGGTGTCACCCCAGGATCCCAGGAGAGAGGGAGAGAGAGACGCAGTTTCTGTGCGGTGGCATGAGGAGTGCAAGTAGTGGGCAACGATGGGCAACGTGAGCGCAAACTTGTGGAAACATTGAGCCGAATCGTGCGGTAACGTTGCGTGACGCTTAAAATTTTCGCTACATCTCCGACGAGCGCGCCGTCGGGTGTTCGGTGCTTGGTTCGTACGAGCGGAAGGCAAGACTATGAGTCTATGCACAGTGCTTTCTACCTGTTGGGATGCGAGGCAGGCCTTGAAGTGTCCGCTTCCGCGACATGAACCTTGATGCACCGCTGGCGCACGCCGCGTCGAGGTACTGGCAAACGGCCTCCCTCTCTACCAGGGAGCGCAAATCGCGGTCGACACCACGCTCGTGAGCCCAGTCTCGCGGCACGGCGCGGCTCGAGCGAGGGCAGATCGAGAGCCAGGCGCTGTCGCTTCCGACGCGGCTATGTGAACCTAGCTGGCGCGATGGTTTCCCGACGCCGACACTGCGGTTGCAAAGCACGATGTACATAACACTGGACTTTGCGAAATGCATGAATTCGCCACCAGGAGGTTTTATTTTATAATGGCGTGAAAGTTGCAACTTGGTAAGTGTACCGGAAGATCCGAAAACGTCGAAATTGTTTTTGCTCGCGCCCCGCATGCTCTTGTTCCGATCGCGGGGCCAGGTGCGTGTCCCGCCGTGTAAACCTCCTCGCCCAGCAGCGATGGGGCGAGTTGCTGGCTGAGGCGGCGCGGGCGGGCCAGGACCAGAACACCCATGCAAAGCGCATGCCGACGGTGTCCGCCGGGCACTGGCACTGACGGGGATCTCCAACGATGGGCCGAGAGGGCAGCGGCGTTGGCGCACTTCGGCGACCAGCGCTGCGTTGGAAGCTGCCCCCCTGGCGCCGGCAACGTAGCCCAGGCGGAGGGTGTCCACCTTCCGCCCGGGTGAAGACTTGTATGCAATTTTGGATGACACATACATACGTGCCCGGTTGAACGCGCCGTCCCCACCTTCCGTACCCTCCGCACTGCATTGGCGAAGCACGCCAACATAGACCTGAACCTCGACAAGACACGAGTTTGGAATGCTGCGGGCGAGGAACCTGAGGGCCTGGCGACGGAACTGCCGCCACTGCCTGGGCATTCCTCGTGTGGGTTGGCGCCCACTCCCTGCGTTCCTGCAACAAAAAAACCGCGACCCACGAGTCCTTGTTATCCAAAATCCCCGCCGCCCCGGACCTCTAGGCGGCGTGGCTGTTATTACTCATATGCGCCGCCTCGCGTTGCCACTACCTGCTCCGCCACGGCGGCCTTTGGACGAGGCGGTTCTTACTTGCTTGGGGGCGTTGTTGGCCAGCGATGCACCGCCGGAATTGGACGGCGTTCGGCGAGCGCAGTCGCCTCTGCACTTTGGTGGGCTCGGTTTGCGGTCTGCGCCCGGCAGCACACTGGGCCTCCTGGCGGAAGCCCTCCCCACCCTCCGCGAGCGCCACCCCGACATCGTTGAGGGGTTGCTTGCCCAAGCTCGGTCCCACCCACAACAAAAAGGTTGTCTCCTGCCCTGCGTTGCTGCCGCCCTTGGCTCGGAGGGTGCGCCACTGGAACGAGCCGCCGCCCGGATCTGTCGGGAAGGCGGGGCCCGTGTGGCGACAAATGTTTTGTTGCGGGACATGAATTCATTAATGCGGACGCCCCGCTGGCGGATTCCCGCCGCATTGAGGTCCTCACCAATGGGCTGCCGTTGTGGCAGGGTGCCCAGGCGGCGGTCGACACGACCTTCGTCACCCGTGCCGCGGGACGGGGGACGGGTCTGACGCGCGGGGGCCGATCGCTTCCCCAGCTGCTACCGATGCGGGACGACGCAAGCGCCACCTACCCTCAGCTCCCGCAAACTGCGCGTCATGCCACCCCGCTGGGCGGGTATGTTGGCTGTGGCCGCCCAGCGAGCTCTGGCGTGGTCGTTGTTGGAGCTCCCCCTTGATATGGCGGACGGCGGACGATCGAGTGCGATGGCTGGCGGAAGTGTTGGCGGAGGCCCGCCACTTTTTACGGGGATCGCCAGCCGCCTACCAGCCCGTGAGGCTGCGGCGGCGAGGGGTCTCGACGATGACTGGCCTTGTACATAGCGGTTCGCTTGCGGGAAAAGAGCCGTGGAGAAAAAAAACAAAAAGCTACCATAGTTATGTAACAGTTATGTACAAGCAGCTACGCGGCCGAACTCAAAAGTGCAAAGTAAACTCGACGAAGGCACCCAGACGAGTCATCCATTGGCGTGTTTCTGTTGCAATTGTAAACCAGTCACCCAACTCGCCCCAGCGGCAGAAACGTTCAATTGCAGAGTGCCATGAAACATCGGTAGGGCAGCGAAGGGCGTCGACAAGGGCAGCAAAGGCACAAGGCACCGAGCCTTGGAGCTTCTTCAGGTCTTTGAACGATTTCAAGCCGCGGGCGGGAAACGCTGAGCATGGCAAGGCACGTTTTTTTATGTTTTTTTTTGTTCGCTCCTTTTTTACGTCTGTCTACATCGCGGCCCCAGTGCAAATGCTGGAGGATGAATGCTGCTGCGTTTGTTTGGAGCGCCTGCAGTCGGCAGCTCCGGCGGATTGCCGACGACCTCTTGTGTCCACTGTGCCCATAGCCGCTGCCCCGACTGCACTCTCACATCGCGCGGGCATCCCGCAGGCGAGGTCTGGGAGAGCACCAACTCCTGGCTATACGTGCCGCTGCTGCACGCTGCAGCGGGGGACCTGCTATCGCCTGCGGCCGAGGCTTGGCGAGACCCGCGGACCCACGGCTGGTGGGAAGAAGCCAGGCGACTATTGGTTGCGTCCGATCCTGTCTCGCCACGGTTGCTGGCAGCGGCCATCCGTCGTGCTGCTGAGGCCACGCCTGCATACAACCATCACATACCCGACATTCTAGAGCGCTTGGGGGAGGCGGGGCTACCTGCCACTGCATTGGTGCACGTGGGCTGGGCAGTGCGTCAGTTGCGTGAGCCCGATGGCTACGTGCTTGCCCCTGTGCAGGAGGCTCTCCTGGAGTTTTACGGTGGCCTCCGGGTGGCATCGGCGCTCGATCGCCACTCCGATCGCTTCCGCCAGGAGCCGCCGATTGTGCCCCCGGTGGAGGGTACGGAGGCTGCCGCCGCGGCCTGCGCTCCCCGCGCGCAGGGTCGTATGCGGCGCCGCCGCGCCCACGGGGTGCCCCGTGACTCGGGACCAGACGAGGAAGGCACGGCTTCGGTGAGTGATTGTGTCCCGTCGGCGCCGTCTCATCCCCGACATTCGTTCGCAGGGACCGGCATTGACTTCGATCTGTTGGCCGAGTTCCGACGCCGCGTGCCGACTCTGCAAACTTGTGCACGTACTGACCGCCACGCTGCACAGGTGCGACGCGCTACCTAGGTGCGACGCGCTACCTGTCCTGCGAGACAGGGCGCCAGGGGCTGCTGCACGCATGCTGCACGCATGCTGCAGGCGCTGCAGGGGCCGATGGCTGACAGCCTGCCGTCAACCGCGGCTGCCCACCACGCAGCTGTGTACCTTGGCGCCCAAGGCTACACGGCGCCTGGCTGGGGGGGAGGTGATGCTGATTAAGTGCTGGCACGATGGTTTATGTTGCTTCGGAGTTTCTTGCGCGAGTCTAGGGTGGGACAAAAAGTCCTTACACATACACGTGTTTGAACACCCTCTCGCTTTTGTAGGACGGCCTTTTGTTGCAATGTGATGAGTTTATGTGATGCAGTCACACATGAAATTTTCATGTGAAGACTTTTTCAAGCTCTCAAACGGGTGGGGTACGTCGTTAGACAGCTCATCGCCATGAGAGTTGCGGGCAGCACTAGGGCTGCCATACGGCAGGTCCTGTTAAGTCGGGACTTGTCGGACCAAACCGATGCTGTACTTGACAAAGCAGTGCGCCTGGCCAGGCAGGAGCTCGGAAGAAGGCGACCAAGCAATCTCGATGAGGAACGTGCAGTTTTTCCAGTCGCGTTGATGGGCTTAGCCAGCCTCACGCAGCCCGACATGGACTGGGAAGTGGAGGATTTCAGCACGCTCATGTGGGAGTTGTGGACTGGTGCAACGCAAGGCACTCAGTCAGCCACGCGTCTTCCTTGCCTTGCCGAAGATGACGATGCCTGGCAAGGCGCATGCGAAGAGCTTCTCGAGGTTGTCAGGGCTAGCAGGATTTGGCTCCGGGCCAAATGGCGTTTGAGAGCTATCGGAGCTCTGTGGTTTGCGGCTTTGGCATGCCTACTCGCAGTGCAGTGGGGGACATGGACGGGCCGCACACGCCTCATGCTGGTATGTGCAAGCATTATCTTGCCCCTCGTCAGTGAGGGGTTGCGCAGACACTGGCCTCAATCTAATGATTGGTCAGACACGCCACTCAGACGAGGAGCAGATTCAGGAGAGCAGATGAATGACACTGTGATTTCACCCCCAGCAGTGCCGAGCGAGAATGTTCACGTTCGCGGAGCTTCGACCGAATTGATGCAGTCACTCACTTCCTTGGCTAGTGTACCGTTGCGCGGAGCCCCGCCGCCACCTGCCCCTGCGCTTCGCTGGCGCCCGGCGGTTGGGCAAGCCGTGATGGTGATGGACAAGCCTCCATACCAGGATTTCAGAAATGAATATGGTGTGGTGACAAACGCTCACGAGTCGGGCTTGGTGGACATCTCATTGTGCAGCGGCGCCCTGCTGTATCAGGTTAGTGGCGAGTCATTGAAGGTAGCGCAACTCACAGGTGACGAGCCTGAATGTGATCAGCTGGCCAGTATGTGTTCGAAGGCCCTTCTGCCGGATTCCGAAGTGAGAGGACCATTGCCCAGAAGTGATGCCAAGGACAACCTTTATGCTCCCTTGTCTATGGCCACGATCGAAGCCACCCAGTCACAGGCGAAGCTGGTCAAAGGTTTGCTTGTCAAATGGGCGGCGCGTTCTGCGCTCATACCCAGCTGGTCTCGCAATTTCTGGAAGGAAGTGGGCGACATCGGGAAGCTGGAGTCTCGCGTGGAAGCACTGCTGCGGACTTTCGGCTACCTCGGTGCAGGCAGTGGAACACCCCCGCGCACCTCGGAGCTCAAAGAAAAGCTGTCAGAATTGGAAAACAGTGGGGCGTTAGCCCATTCCACGCCTCTTTTTGACAATGGGCTTTTGGATGCGGAGAATGCTGCCGAGGATGACGACCTTGGTGGTTGGGAAGCATGCCTCCCACCAGACTTGAAACGGGCTGGACCAGAAATCTATGCTTCGTTCCGAGCGTCGGGTGCAAGAAGCGCGCGCGAATGGTTGAACCAAATGATCCCATTAGATCGTCGAGGCGACGCGTTGTATTTGGACTTGTTCAATCAAGCATCATTGGTCGACTTTGCCGTGAAGGACGCCAAGGGTTCGCAGGCTCAGGCTCTCTCCCTGATTGCCCGCAGCGACACAGCAGAGGTTGCCTTGAGGAGGCTCGCCTCCTATGTGCACGAGAAGCGAACAGGCGATCGGGATGCAGCAACGTCTATGCTGGCCATTAAGCCTACGAATCTTTCCCATGACATTGCGCCGGCCTGGTTGGTATCGGAAGCATCGTTGTTTGCCCAAGGCGAGCACAAACGCCGTGAAAGGGCCAAGGCGCAGCGCGGAGAGTCGTCTACCTCCAAGGGGGCACCCAAAGGCGCACCCAAGGGAGCTGGGCGAGGACGAGGAGCTAAGAAACAAGGAGGTGGCGGCAGACCGGCCGCAGCAGCCTCTCAAGGCTGACACCCTGGCGGCCCCTCATGGGCAGCTGCTGGCTCATTGGGGGCGACGCCGCCAAGTCAAACAGCAGAAGACGGAGGAGCAGCCACAGCGCATGATGAGCTTTTCCCGCTCCCAGTGCCGCCGCAGCCGTTGTTTCCAAATTCATCCTCCGCTCGTTTGAGAAACAGGTTTTCCAAGAGGTTGCGGCTTTGGAAGTACACAGTCGGTTTGATTCATTTTCTCAATTTCATGCATGTGGGCACGAACAGACACAAGCAGAAGCTCTCTGGGTCAGCGGCGCGGGCTGAACCAAATCAGGCGCAGAGAGCTGTGTGGAGACACCTGTTCGAGTTGAGCAGAGCTGGTCTTCGGGTCCGCCGGGAGGTCACTCCGACAGGCGGCCAATCAGCTGTTGCGGCGCTCGTCAAGTCCGCCAAGGTGGACGTGATGGGTTATGCATCAGTTTCCAAGACGCATGCCCAAGTGCCCATGGAAGCAGCACGTATCGTGGAGCCTTCGGATGAACACGTGGTCGACATGTTACAAGCATTGCCATGTGATGAAAGCCAGTTTTATTCCCACGAAGAGAATGTCATTGATCATATCGGAAAGAGCATAGTTATCCAACACGAGCTGGAACAGCAATATGCGTTTGTAGGCGGTTGCTTGGACGAATATGTGAGTTACTTTCACCGCCAGGATGTTCCTGCCAGCATGTGGGAGTGGAGGCTCTTCCGTGATGTCAAGGCAGTCGCTGGTTTTTCGGTGGTTCCAAAAAAAGATGGTATCTCTCAACGCAAGCTTTTGATGTGTTGCTCTTTCAATTACCTTCTCACTGATCCGCGGCATCGTTCCGCCCTAGGGATGCAAGGGGCGGGGGCGCTTAATCGTGTCCATGTAGCAACGGGAGAGACGCTGGAGCTTGCAACGTGTGACCAGTCCAATGCGTTCACGCAAGTCGCAGTACCGGCATGGATGAGTCCGTACTTAGCTACGCCTCCGATTGTTGCTGCGCTCGTGTGGGATGTGTTGCCCAAAGGCTTGCAGGAGACCATTTGCGCGACGGATTTGGTTTCGCCCTGTTACAGGCGCCTGCCCATGGGATGTAGCCATTCTGTCCATATTTTGATGATGATCAATTTGCAGGCCATAGGGCGAGCAATGCGAGCAAATTCCTTGATCAGCACAGGCCAAAGCGACACCAAGTTGGATCCAGAGGCCATTGATCCCCTTGAAACCCCAAATGAAGAGCGCATTCTATTTGGTTGCACGGATGATGAGTGGTGGTCACGTTTCCAGGTCGGGGCGGGACAACGCTTCGAGTCCGGCTACTCAGTTCAGGAGTGGTGGGATGCTATCCGTGCCGCACGGTCGGCGAACCATCGCACGGTTGTGGTCATGAATTTCTTCGGAGGGGAGCGCAGAGAGGGTGATGTGCAGGATCATGTTGAACGACTCGCCGCCGAAAAGGGACTCCAGGTGATGATGATCACGATTGACTTGGGTTGTGATGCTCGTTGGGATGTTGCGCAGCCGGACACTTTCCATGAGATCATGCGGATGTTGGAAGGCTTCGTTGACATCATAATCGGAGGTCCCCCATGTTCTACTGTTTCCCGGGCCAGACACAAGCGTGAACGGAGAAGTGACTCTTTGTGCTACCCGAGGCCGCTGCGCCTTCGGTGCTGCCCTTGGGGTCGTTCTGGCCTCACCATCGCTGAAGAAGGGAGGTTGCGAGAAGCTAACCGCTTATGGCTTCACTTCATGATGGCGTGCGAGAAAGTTTCTGCGCGAGGTGGTTGTCACTTGTGGGAGCATCCCGAGGATCCGGGGGTGGAGCCATACCCTTCGATATGGATCACGCCAGAGATGATCCAGTTGGAGTCCCGTACGAAGGCCAAGCGAGTTTCATTTGATCAGTGTGTCTTTGGCGCGCCAATAAGGAAAGGTACTACTTTTTCAGGAACTTTGGATGGCATCGAGGTTTTTGGCCGATGCCGGTGTCCGGGGGTTAGCTCGGGGCACAATCATGCTGAGCATGCTACAGGGCTTGATGAGCGAGGCTGTTTCCGTACGAGACGATTGCAAACATATCCGCCCGCCATGTGCGAGTTGCTGGCCAGGTGCATCGTAGCTTGTGCTGAACGTATGGTAGGGGAAGGCTCGGGCCCTACTGGCTTCTTGCTACCGCAGGGCGTCCAAGCAGTCCCTACAGCGTGGTCTTTTTCGCATTCGCCATTGCTTTTGCCTGGAGTGGACATCTTGAATGAACAGGTTGTGCATGGTCGCCGCACCCTCGTCTCTTCAACGCAGGCGGGCGTTTATTTGCACGTGGATGACACATTGACGTTCAGCACTAAATCCTGCACAGCTTCTGCAAACAGCATGATGCATTGCATTGCGGATGGTATGGAAAGTATTGGGTTCTCGGTACCGGAAAGAGTGTCGCCTAATGAAGTTGAAAAGGTGATTGGATATGCTTGGGAGCCTGGCACGGCGACCTTCAGTTTGCCTCCTAAGAAGCGGGTTTTGTTGCCGCTTGCCTTACGAGCATTGGCTGCCCAGCGCATGGTGGAGGTCAAAGTTCTTCGAGCTGTAGTGGGCCTCTGGTCTTTCGGAGCGCAGCTGAGGCGAGAACTATATTCAGTACCTTTTGTAGTGTACAACTTCATCGATAAGTTCGATGGATCAACGGTCAGGCTGTGGCCATCGGTGCGCCAAGAACTCATTCACATGGCGACTGCTGTTGATTTCATGTTTTTGAATGTGGGTATGCCCTTTTCGGCGGATTTACTGGCCACAGATGCCATGGGGCAAAACGAACTTGATCATGGTGGTTATGGCATTTGCCTGACTAAGGTCAGTGAAGCTGAGCTGGAAGCACTGAGAGCAAATTCAGAGCAGCTGGGTTTGGCGCTAAACTTGCATGACGATGTTGTTGACGGCATGCCTTTTCCAGAGAGAGCTTTGACACCAACAATCCCGTTTTCATTGCTTCCAGCTGCTTTGTCTTGCGAATCCCGATGGGAAGTGGTTTTGCAAGGTCGGTGGAAGGCCGCTGATCATATTAGCATAGGAGAAACACGGGCTGTGTGGAAAGCACTCCGCTGGGTCGCTTCAAATCCCGCTCGTCATGGCATGGTTTGGTATTCCTTGCAGGACAATATGGTGTGTAAAGCCGTGCTTACTCGCGGTAGGTCATCATCTTGGGGCCTCAACGTGTATTGTAGGAAGAAGGCTGCAGTCTGTTTGGCCGCCAGGATCCGTTTGCTTCTACCTTGGGTGGAGACGTCTCGCATGCCCGCGGATCATGCCTCAAGGATTCAAGCATGAGTGGAGGGCAATCGGCCTTCGCATGTTTACCGCGTGTGCTGGACCCACATCATATAGCTTCAGTCAAAGCCTCCACATTCAGGTGCTATCAGCAGTGCCTCCGGTTGTTTGTCATTTTCTTGATAGAGTCGGGCGCAAATCCTGGCTCAGCCGCAGAGCTGGACCTTTTGATTTTGCAATACAAGGCTTCCTGTCACTTATCACACTCCAAGCTTGAACAATTGATCGCAGCGCTGGAGTTTCATCTTTTGCCCCTGAAGGGCCTACTGCCTTATTCCAAGCGTGTTGCAAAGGGTTTGTGCAGGGTGACATCAATCAGGCATACTTTACCTTTGCTTTCGGGGCCAGCCAAGTTGTTTGGAGTGCTCTTTGTGGCGGCAGGCTTCCCTTGTTTGGCAATTGGGCTTGTGGTCCAGTGCTTGACGGGGCTTCGTCCGAGTGAGCTGCTCGGACTGCGCGAGCAGGATGTTCTCAGGCCAACCGCTGCTTGTCCAAAGTTTGTATTTCGTTTGGGAGTGGGCTGCGGTACAAAAGTCCGGCGTGAGCAAGTTGCATCTCTTCATTGGGGCCGTGATCCAGTGGTGGCTCGTGTGCTTCAGCAACTGTTGTACGAAGCGGAGCCTGAAAGCTATTTGTTCAATGTTTCGTACGCTCAATATCGTGGACTTTTGGCCCGAGCGGAGGCGTATCTGGGGCTGGAGAAGCTCTTCACTCCACACTCTCCTCGAGCCGGCTTTGCGACTGAGGAGTTTACACGGGACTGCGGCGTGGCGGACATCCGACAAAGGGGGCGTTGGGCGTCGGAACAGTCCTTCAAAACGTACCTCGACATTGTGTCCGCCTCGCAGGTTCAAGCGGCTTTTCACTTACGGGGAGTGGGCGCCGCGCAGGCTTACAGTGTGGAGCATTTTGGCGACTATTTCCCGCCTGGTATTTTCAGGTCAGGTCATGGCTCCCGCCCTGCTGGACTTTGATGGCGTCGAAGTCCCAGTACCGCCCGTCCTTCCTCTTCCAACCTCCACTCCTAGGCGCCGGCTACGACCTTCCAGGGCGCACACGCCAGGGCCCACACTCCGCCGAGCCGCCTCGCGTCCGCCAACCTCTGGTGGTCTTCAAGCGCGGGCGGCTCCTGCGGTCCCCTCCACCGCTGTGCGTCGCACTCCGCGCGGCCTGATGCGCTCACGTGTGAAGCGCTGGTGGGCCCGGTTTGCAGCTTTTGGCAGGAACGGAGCTTTTTGGTTGTGCATGCTGTTGCTCATCACGCAATGTTCCCAGTGGGGCTTTGTTGAGCAAGTGACGCGCCTAGTCTCCTCCGTCGCCTTGGTGTCGGAGCGTGCCTCGGTGGCGGCGGCCGTGGTGTTGGATCACGGTACGGAGTTTGCCTCGACTACATCTTCGGCCGTGTTAGCCTTCACCTCCGGCTCCTTGGATCTCATCCGCACAGCGTGGTTGGGCGTGGACCTGCTCGATCTCCACTGCACCTCCACTGAGGGGTCGGTCATGGGCGCTCACGGCGCCGTTCTGGTGGAGTGGCTTCATTCGCTACACGGCCAGTCCGCTATTCGAACCAATCGCTCAGAAGCTCTCGCTCTTTGGGCATCTTTGGTGTCTTCCGTGGGCATCTCATTGCCGTACGTCGCCTCCACTGCTGCGGATTTGGAGGTACACGGGTTGTATTGGTCGGCGACAGGTTCGGCTTATGTGCTGCCCAGCGGGTATCTCATGTTTGCATTTCGCTACGTTGAGGTGCGGTTTGTGGCTCAGTGGGCCAATCCGCTATGGCAAGCCCTGAACGTCAGCATCACCACTCAGCATGACCAGATTCAGCGCCTGATTGGGAACATCACCGCTTCCCTGCCGGCCTCTTCCAATTTACATGAGCAAGCGGCCATGGTGGATGTTTCGTGGATGCCGCCTTCCAGGCGCTGCTGGTTATCTGTTCAGGTGGCTTTCCGCGCTGTGGTTATGCACTTACGGGCTTGGTGTCCTGGTTGGGCCACCTTGCGGGGAGGGGGGCTCATGGTGTTTGTATCGTTGATGATTTTGCTGCGGAGCAACACCTTCAACCCTTTCCGAATTTTCAATGGCAGAATGCAGGCGGTATGGCGCGAAAGGACTGTCTTTGTTACGGTTACAAGAAGATGGGCCGGAGCTTTGCTCAGGCAGTTGCAATTCACCAATGTGCGGGAACATGTTGGATGAAGGATGCGGGATGTCTTGGGCGCAGGCCCGATTCCAGGCCTGCGAACTTTGCGCCACCGCACTGCATAGCAGTGTGCGTGAACGAGGCTGCAAGGACAGTCATTTGGATCAATCATGTCTCGCCCACCAGCTCAAAGAGACAGGATGCTTATTTCAGTTGCTTGCACCATGAGCCCTCCTCATGCTCTTGCTGATGCTTACATGAAAATTTCCTTCACATTGGGGTGGGAGCTGTACTGAGCGCGCTTTCGGAGTGAGAGTCGCATAATGATTAAGTGCTGGCACGATGGTTTATGTTGCTTCGGAGTTTCTTGCGCGAGTCTAGGGTGGGACAAAAAGTCCTTACACATACACGTGTTTGAACACCCTCTCGCTTTTGTAGGACGGCCTTTTGTTGCAATGTGATGAGTTTATGTGATGCAGTCACACATGAAATTTTCATGTGAAGACTTTTTCAAGCTCTCCCCTCCCGCCCGCCCAAAGGGGGGGATGTCTTGGGCGCAGGCCCGATTCCAGGCCTGCGAACTTTGCGCCACCGCACTGCATAGCAGTGTGCGTGAACGAGGCTGCAAGGACAGTCATTTGGATCAATCATGTCTCGCCCACCAGCTCAAAGAGACAGGATGCTTATTTCAGTTGCTTGCACCATGAGCCCTCCTCATGCTCTTGCTGATGCTTACATGAAAATTTCCTTCACATTGGGGTGGGAGCTGTACTGAGCGCGCTTTCGGAGTGAGAGTCGCATAGACAAGGGCAGCAAAAGGCACAAGGCACCGAGCCTTGGAGCTTCTTCAGGTCTTTGAACGATTTCAAGCCGCGGGCGGGAAACGCTGAGCATGGCAAGGCACGTTTTTTTATGTTTTTTTTTGTTCGCTCCTTTTTTACGTCTGTCTACATCGCGGCCCCAGTGCAAATGCTGCGTCGACAAGGGCAGCAAAGGCACAAGGCACCGAGCCTTGGAGCTTCTTCAGGTCTTTGAACGATTTCAAGCCGCGGGCGGGAAACGCTGAGCATGGCAAGGCACGTTTTTTTATGTTTTTTTTTGTTCGCTCCTTTTTTACGTCTGTCTACATCGCGGCCCCAGTGCAAATGCTGGAGGATGAATGCTGCTGCGTTTGTTTGGAGCGCCTGCAGTCGGCAGCTCCGGCGGACTGCCGACGACCTCTTGTGTCCACTGTGCCCATAGCCGCTGCCCCGACTGCACTCTCACATCGCGCGGGCATCCCGCAGGCGAGGTCTGGGAGAGCACCAACTCCTGGCTATACGTGCCGCTGCTGCACGCTGCAGCGGGGGACCTGCTATCGCCTGCGGCCGAGGCTTGGCGAGACCCGCGGACCCACGGCTGGTGGGAAGAAGCCAGGCGACTATTGGTTGCGTCCGATCCTGTCTCGCCACGGTTGCTGGCAGCGGCCATCCGTCGTGCTGCTGAGGCCACGCCTGCATACAACCATCACATACCCGACATTCTAGAGCGCTTGGGGGAGGCGGGGCTACCTGCCACTGCATTGGTGCACGTGGGCTGGGCAGTGCGTCAGTTGCGTGAGCCCGATGGCTACGTGCTTGCCCCTGTGCAGGAGGCTCTCCTGGAGTTTTACGGTGGCCTCCGGGTGGCATCGGCGCTCGATCGCCACTCCGATCGCTTCCGCCAGGAGCCGCCGATTGTGCCCCCGGTGGAGGGTACGGAGGCTGCCGCCGCGGCCTGCGCTCCCCGCGCGCAGGGTCGTATGCGGCGCCGCCGCGCCCACGGGGTGCCCCGTGACTCGGGACCAGACGAGGAAGGCACGGCTTCGGTGAGTGATTGTGTCCCGTCGGCGCCGTCTCATCCCCGACATTCGTTCGCAGGGACCGGCATTGACTTCGATCTGTTGGCCGAGTTCCGACGCCGCGTGCCGACTCTGCAAACTTGTGCACGTACTGACCGCCACGCTGCACAGGTGCGACGCGCTACCTAGGTGCGACGCGCTACCTGTCCTGCGAGACAGGGCGCCAGGGGCTGCTGCACGCATGCTGCACGCATGCTGCAGGCGCTGCAGGGGCCGATGGCTGACAGCCTGCCGTCAACCGCGGCTGCCCACCACGCAGCTGTGTACCTTGGCGCCCAAGGCTACACGGCGCCTGGCTGGGGGGGAGGTGATGCAGCCTCCCGCCGAGGCCTCCAGACGCGATGGCAGCGACGTGCTGCCCACGCCTGTGACGAGCGCGCGTTCGAGACGGCTTTCCGAACCTGTCACCTGCCTCACGAGCGCTGCTTGCTATCACAGGCCAGTGCGCACTTCCGCGTCCTCCTCCTTCGCCGGTTGCGCCTGCCGCTCCAGCTCGCACCGCGGACCTGCGCCTGCCGAAGGCCGCAGGATGTGCTGGGTGACCACCGGACGGCGTGTGCCACTGCTGGCGTCCTTGCCTCGCGCGCCATCCCTCTTGAGCGAGCCCTCGCCAGGGTGTGTCGCGAGGCTGGCGCGCGTGTGGCCAGAAACGTGCGGCTGGCCGACATGAACCTCGATGTGCCCATGCAGGACGCACGGCGGATTGAGGTTGTCTGCAACGGGCTGCCCCTGTGGCAGTTGATGCCACGCTCGTCAGCCCCCTCGGCCGGGACGGCCAGCCCAGCACCGGCGCCGATGCCCGTCCCGGCATCGTTCTTGCCCAGGCTACACGCCGCAAACAACGCTAAACTTATGCCGAGCTGGAGCGGGCGCGCCGCTGCCGCTTGGTGGTGTTCGGGATGTGCACGCGCCCTCGCTTTTTTGCCGCCGAGTCAGGGGGGGCTGAGCCTTCTCGCGGCCGAGCGCATCTCACCAGCGGCATGCTGGGCAGCATGGGCCGACGCGCTCCCGGTCCTGCGCCAGCGGTATCCGGAAGCTGCGGACCGCTTGCTCCATGACCTCACCGAGGCCCGGGATCCGCCGTGCTTGCAGGCTGCCGCTGCCGCGGCAGTGCGGCTCGATGAGGCGGGTTGGGCAGACCGTCCCGGCTGGGAAGCGTGCGCTGGCGGGGCACCGGTGCCACCATCGCAAGGGGAGCTCGGGCTGGGAGGCCTTGGCTGGCAGCGGCACGCTGTTCTCGCACTTCACACTTTCTTTCGGGAGCGTGAGCTGCTGCCTGCCATCCCTCCAGCTTCCTCCTACGATCCCAGTCCGGTCCTGCGTGGCTCGCAGCCATCCCATGCCATCCCCACAGACGCAGCAACCACCCTTGCCCCTGACCTTATGCACTTGGCATTGCGGCGGTGGGGACGGTCGCCCAGGCTGCCGGGGGGAGATCGATGGGATTCGATGGGCTTGGGGACCACTACCTCGCCTGCCCCCGCACAGGCCTGCTGCCTCGCCGCGGCTTCGTCCTTGAGCACGCATGGGTGCAGGTCGTGCGGGAAGCGGTGGGGTCCGAAGGATGCGTGGTGCCACAGCAGTGGCTTTGCCTGCACCACTGCCCCACAAGTCCCGCCAGATGACCGCCGTCGCCTCGACTTTGTGGTCTACGGAGGCGCTGTGACGCTCGTCTCTCCCTTGACCCGCGCCGGTCACCCTGTCCCCGGCGCAGATGCTCGCGATGGGGTTGCGCTCGCTGCAGCACGTCGGCGCAAGGCCGCGTGCTATCCCGAGCTTAGACAGGGGGACCCACAGAAACTGGTCGTCCTGGCTGCGGAAATTGGCGGTCGCTGGAGTGATGAGTGCCGTCAGTTCCTCCGTCAGCTCCTGCGCCTCACGGGGATGGGCGCGTCGCTGGTGGGGCTTCCTGTTGTCGCTCTGCAGCGTGCCGTGGCAAGTTCCGTGCTCGGGGTTTGGACCATGCCACCACTTCCCGGCGCGCCGGACGGCGTGCCCCTTGGCGATGTCCTTGACTTCGCTGAGGCGGCCGCGCCCAGCCGACTGCAAGTGGACCATGTCGGGACGAGTTTGCAGGGAAAAAAAGTTGGTCGGTGACGGACGACGCCGTGTTGCGCACGTTTTTTTTTTGTTTTCCTCTCGCGGCGGTCGTGATCCAGGTCCCCACACCCCCCTATGTACACACGTCTCACCGAAGCGGCAGGCGGCTGGGCCCCGCGAAATCGGCGAGCTCAAGGACATCAGCGAGGGGGACCCTCCGGCGAGCTCGGCAGCGCCGGCATCGTCCAGACACCCAGGGCCGTGCTGGCAACTGCCCTCTGCACGGCGACCGAGAGCAGGCCCCACCATCGCCTTGCCCACCCCTGGGCCGCCGTGGCACGCAGGGTTGCAGGGGCCCTCTGAACGCGGAGACGCAGGAGCTGGCGAACGAAGCGCTGGCACTCCTCGCCCCACCTGCCGCCCACCTCCGCCGCGAGCACGACGAGCGGTTGCGGACCTCCCCGCAGGAGCTCGGGATATCGCGCGTGCTTGCGGCGGCGCGCGGCCGCCAACGCGGCCCCTTCTCGCGTCCGCCCCGACCGCCTCGCGCGCAGCCGGGAGCTCCGTCGCCTCCACAATGCAGGGCGGTCAATGGTAGCGGCAGGCGGAGGCGTCGCCTGAGGGCAATGTGCATCAAGTCTGGGGCCAGGGTCGCAGCTGCGTCAGCCGGTATAGCGGCGAGCCACATGCCCACATGTTGCCCAGACTGAGAGCGAAAGAGGGCTTGCGCATCGGGCGCCATGGCCGGGAGCAGCTCGCGTTCTCGGAAGGACGTGTGGAGTGCGAGAACAGCGCGTCGCTGCCAGCCAGGGCCACCGAGCCCGAGCTCACCGTCTGCAGCCGGGACCTGGGCCCCGTCGGCACATGCCGCCCAGTGAGGCCGCTCATCCCAACCAGCCGCGTCTAAGCGCTCCGTAGCCGCTGCCGCTGCCCGCACGCAGGGCGGTGCGGCGACTGCATCGCCTTCGAGCGCGCGCACGAGTTGCTGGGCGACGTCGGGGAAGCGTTGGCGCAAAACTGGGAGGGCCAAGCCGCCCAGTATGCAGCCGGCGCAGCCCGCTCTGCAGCCAACAAGCCCAGGCCCCCCAAGCTGGGCGGCAGGAAGGCGCCGAGGCGCGCTGCAGTCCACGCAGCCTC